ATTATTAACTCAAGGTTATAAATCCTTGTTATGGATAGAATTTTTTTTACTTTTTAAGAGTTAATTGAAGTATCGCCCTATAACAGATGTGTATGTGTTGTTTAACTTGTTTCTTATAAACCATTAGACTATTAGTTGAAGTATTATGAATCTTTAATTCGTGAATGGTAAGCTAAAATTCCTTGAAAGGTAACTATTGATATTAACAAGTTACATACGTTATTAAATTTACATGTAGATGGCAGAAGAGATTGTTTGAAAATGATGTTACTCATACATAATAATTACCATGTTATTTGAATGGTGGGTATTTATCTGAGTAAGTTTTGACATGAAAAACTATCAGTATGCGTGAATGACAAATGCTTTGCGTGAGCAATATAGTTTTGACGTGAGTAGTCATCCTTATTACGTTAATGGCCAACCAAAATTCCTAGATATGGGTGAAAAAAAGAAACACTTATCCTTGTTAACTAAAGTATTAGACTATTAGTTGAAGTATCATGAATCCTTGTTACGTTAATTGTTAGCCAAATTTCTTTAAAATGGATAACATTGGGCTTGTAAAGTTACATACATTATTAAATTGATTTGCTAATGGTGTAAGAGATTATGTGAAAATTTATATAGCTCATATTTGATAATTACCACGTTGTTTGCATGATCTGATGTTTACGTGAATTAAGATGTTTTGTTACGTAAATGGCTAGTTTTGGCGTGATGGCTTATTGTTATTACGTGAATGATTTGTCAAAATTCATTGAAATGGGCAGATGGTGTAAGAGATTGTGAACAACATGGTTGGAGGATTTGAAAATTTTGCCCAAGGTCAGGTTAATATTTTAGTAGGTTTGTATTTATATAATTTTTTTTCCAGAAAATTAGCTGCTATGGAAAAATGTAGCAAGGAGAAATATCAAGAATTCATGAGGTTTTTATGACTTTTTTTTTTGTAAAATTATTACCCATTTTGAAAGAAGAAACAATAGAAAGTAGCAAGACAGAGTGTCTTGGTCCGTGTGCCCCTTTTAGTCTGTGCAATTCGCAATTTCTCGACCATGTCATCAATTTCTCGCCCATGTCATCGTATCTAAAATCTAAATGCTCACCTATCAACTCTTCTCATTCCCTTATTTTATTAGGTGTTCATGTCTCTAGAGGAGTCAAGAAACCTCTCTCTTACCAATAATAGCCCAAAAAATAGCCATTATTGGGCCAGAAAAATATCAAAATCGTAGCCCACGTAAGGGCCAATTGTTGGAATCGTTCTGGACTTGTGTCAATGAATGAAAACCACACATTATTATATAGTTGGGGTAATGGTGTGATTATCTTGTCCCAGCGATGTGGTAAAAATTTTCTTCTTTTTTCTTCAGTTATTCTTCCATGCCACGCCTCTGCTCAGAAGCCAAGTTTGCCAACTTTCCTTCACAAGTTGTCACTGTCTGACCGAAGCCCTCTCTTCCCCTACCTACCTTTCATCACGCGGACATCATCAGCTGAACCCATGCTGATATGAATTATAATTCCATGGTTCCATCGAGTTAGTTGCTGGGAGCTAACTGCACTTGTTATTGTGGCAGATAAAAGAGTGGACGTGTCAAAGTGGAGAACGATCCAGGGGAAGGTTTGTGGTGTAACACCTTACCAAATTCACGAGAGCTTGGATTGCATAATTCCTTCATGTTTCTGCCACTCTGCAAGTTCACTACTTCAAGAGTTTGTAAAGAACCCAAAAAGGTGTGATAACTGATAAGGATACAATGAATACCTCCTGAGATTCCCCACCTGATAATTCCTTCTTGTATAGTTTACCATAGCTACTGTAACAATTAAAGATCAAGCATAAGTATGGCATTGCATTGCGTATTTGCGTTGAAGATTTTGTATGGCATGATTGCTGTTGGTCCATACACTTCATGCTCTCTTATATTAGTCAACAGTTAATAATAATTAATCTACTATTTTTATATTTGGAGCCAAGTTTAACTCGAACCATTTTAACTTTTAACCAAACATTGATACTGTGTACCATATTTATCTTCTTCGTTTTTAATTCATTTTTGAATTTTTTTCATAGAAAAATGAACGAGTTCATCATAATCTATTGAATCTACAAATTTCTGGGTGAACAAAATACAAGACCAAAAAATATCACATAATACCACCCTGGTACGTGGTGGTATCTTGTGGTACACAATGTTAAAAGTCGTAAATGGCAGTTAATATACTTCTACTATCATGTATTCAACCATCCTACAGTCTTGGTATGTTCATACAACCATGATACGCTTTTCATTCCATAGGCATGCTCTTATTTCAATACCAGTCAATATCATATGGTATAGACTGGTAAAAAATGACTCAATTTTTTTTGTTCCAAAAATATATCAAATTGGATATCATTTTGAAGAGCACGATTGATCTGATCTAACTGTGCAAAAAAAATTTAAATTTCGACTTAAAATGAGCGAGAAATCGTCCGTTAAAAATTAAAGGGAGAAAGTTAAAGGTTTTTCATGAGAGAGAAATTGTGCTAATGTGGCGGATGGAGATTCGGTTATGTATTGTTACTCACCACAAGTTTATTGACTCTATCCGCTCCCTTTTTAAGGGTATGGAAAAATGATACCCGTTTTTAATTATAGTAATTTTTCGTATTAAATTCGTGTCGCACATAATAATCTTTGAGAACTAAAAAATCATACTAGTAATTACATTCATTTTTTTGAACTACCATTGCACCCGTACACTTTTTGACAACTTTTCGTCTTTTTGACAAAATACAAGACCAAAAAATATCACATAATACCACCCTGATACGGGGTGGTATCTTGTGGTACACAATGTTAAAAGTCGTAAATGGCAGTTAATATACTTCTACTATCATGTATTCAACCATCCTACAGTCTTGGTATGTTCATACCACCATGATATGCTTTTCATTCCATATGTATGCTCTTATTTCAATACCAGTCAATACCATATGGTATAGACTGGTAAAAAATGGCTCAATTTCTTTTGTTCCAATTGTGCAAAAAAATTTAAATTTCGACTTAAAACGAACGAGAAATCGTCCGTTAAAAATTAAAGGGAGAAAATTAAAGGTTTTTCAGGGGAGAGAAAACTTGCTAATGTGGCGGATGGAGATTCGGCTATGCATTGTTACTCACCACAAGTTTATTGACTGTATCCGCTCCCTTTTTAAGGGTATGGAAAAATTATACCCCTTATTAATTATAGTAATTTTTTGTATTAAATTCGTGTCGCACTTAATAATCTTTGAGAACTAAAAACTCATACTAGTAATTAGATCAGGTCAGTAACCTTATGGTGAGTAACCATGAGTAATCCCTCCACATCAACATTACATCAGTATCCCTCTCTCTCTTGAGAAGCCTTTAATTTTTCCCTTCTTAATCTTTGACGGACGTTTTCTCACTCGTTTTGAGTCGAAATTTAATATTTTTTGCACAGTTAGATCAGATTAATTGTGCTCTTCAAAATGATATCCACTTTGATATATTTTTCGAACAAAAAAAATTGAGTCATTTTTTACGAGTCTAACATATGGTATTGACTGGTATTGAAATAAGAGCATACATATGGTTTGAAAAGCGTACCATGGTGGTATGAACAAACCAAGACTGTATGATGGTTGAATACATGATAGTAGAAGTATATTAACTGTCATTTACGACTTTTAACATTGTGTACCACAAGATACCACCCCGTACCAGGGTGGTATTTTATGGTATTGTGTGGTATTTTTTGGTCCTGTAATTTGTTCACCCAGAAATTTGTAGATCCAATAGATCATGATGAACTCGTCCCTTCTGTGCAATCGTTTTCAAAATCGAATTAAAAATGAAGAAAATACCATATGATATGCAGTTGGTACCGAGAGGTTAGAATTTTTTTCTCAAAAACTATTGAAAATTGATCTCATTTTGTAGAGCACGATGAACTCGTTCCATCTTTGCAAAAAAAAAAAAAATTAAAATCCGAGTTAAAACGAAAAAGATATGAGCCGATTAAGAAAGCTAGGGAAAATAAAAATGATCTTTAATTCTCCATCTTTAGATCTGGATTTTCTAAATGAAGGGTCCATATTTGGTTATTGATGGGTGCATAACCCACGGTTATGCACCCTATCTTGAGCCATAATTACATTCATTTTTTTAACTACCATTGCACCCGTACACTTTTTGACAAATTTTTGTCTTTTGCTGAATTTTATCCAGAAAAGTTATTGTAAATCAATTTTTTTCTTGCTACCATAGGATAAGGTAGCACAAAATTATGACCATATGAAGGTGCATGATTTTTAGCCTAAATTTGCTGGGGTGTGCAATTCCTAATAGATATATAGCTTTGGACTTTAAGTGATTTTGTGGGGAAAGATAGTGAACACTATCGATTTTAGTGATTTTTTTTTTTTTTTTTGTGTGTAGTTACGTTTGGAAAAAGATACCAACGTGGGTTACTAGGATTTCCAATGTGATTAAAATTGAGCGTAACTGGTCAGACCGGTCGACGAGGCACAGCTGGTTGGTAGAGAATTGGGATGAAAATTCAATTTTTGGGTTTACATATGATGTTTGATTCTTATTATATGTGTACATTTGTAAAATTATTGTTTACGAGGCATTAGTTTATTGACTATTTTCTAACGATTTAACGTCCATTAGACCATCAAAATGTAAGGGTGTGGTGTACCGATTCATGTTTGGGTTCTATATTCTAACAGTATTGAGTATTGACGATTTCTATACGCATGCGTTTCTTGACCTTTAAATGATGTCCATTTGCACCCCTAAATCTTCATTTGTTTCCTTTAATTTGGTTGGAAGCTTTTATGAAATGAATCAATGACGATTCCGGGCGGTCGGGCTGGTACGCCACGTCTGAAATGTTGATTCCTATATAAAACCGCAAGTTAATTAACCATCCAAATACTTTACGAAACCCGCCTCCATATATCCAGCAGCTCTTGCGAAATGGCTCTAATTACCGACATTAATCCTCGCAACAGTACTTATTGGCTCTTGGTCACCGGCACCGCCACCCTCCTAATTATACCGCTAATTGCATATCTCTTAAGCTTAAGCAAAGCAGCAGCTACCCAGAAGAAGCGGTCTCCCCCAAGCCCGCCGGGCCTACCCATGATCGGCCACATCCACCACGTCGGCAAAGTCGTCCCCGTCTCATTCCAGGCCCTGGCCCAACGCTACGGCCCACTCCTCTCCCTCCGCCTCGGCTTCTCCACTTGCGTCCTCGCCTCCGACGCCGACGTGGCCCAGCAAATCATGAAAACCCACGAGCTCAACTTCTCATCACGCCCGCCATTCGGGTCGCCGGAGCACTCCATCTACCCGCCCGGATCCGGGTTTGCCATGGTCCCCTACGGCGACTACTGGCGGTTCCTCCGCAAGCTCTCCACCTCACGCCTCCTCTCCGTCCCCCAGCTCCGCCGCTTTGCTGACGTGGCCGACGACGAGAGGCTCGGCCTCCTCAGGTCCTTGGCAAGTTGCGCCCAGGAAGAAGGTACGTCGTCGTTCGTACTACCGACTTCTATTATTATTATTATTATTATGTATTTAAAGTCATCAAGTGTTGTATATATGCACCGAAACGTGTGCTTGATATCGTAGTTCGACTTTAGACCTAATATAAACTCCTTTTTTATCTTTTAGTAATTTATAAGATCGGAGTTAAATATGTATTTAACGTTAGATTTATGATCGAACAGCAAGGAGGCCTTGCGACCTCGGGAGCGAGCTGATGAAATTAACCAACAATACAATATGCCGAATGGCGATGAGCACAAGATGCTCAGGTAGGGAAAAAGACGCAACGAAAATACAAGAAATAGTGAAAACCGTGCTTCAGCTGGCGGTGGAGCTGAGCTTGGGGGACGCGTTGGGTCCGTTTGGGAAGGTTTTGGAATATTTCGCAGGGAAGGGGAAGAAGCTGTTTGGGGCGCTGAGTAATTTTGATGAGCTGCTGGAGAGGATTCTAAAGGAGCATGAAGAGAAGCTGTTGTTAACGGTGGCCGACGGCAAGACGACGGCGGCGCCGGCCAGGAAAGATGTGGTCGATATACTGTTGGAAATTTATAACGACCCTATTGCTCCCATCAGGCTTTCCAAAACCGACATCAAGTCCTTCTTGCTTGTAAGTATATGTTTAACTAATGTGTTTTGTCTGTTTAACTAAATATCGAAATTTAATTCAAAATGTTCAAAAAAACATATTTCCAAATTTAGTAAATTAGTTTTAAGATACTATGATATATGTTAGGGAAGAGTTGTTTATTACTACATATACACTTTCCTCTTCGCATATATAGAGTATTATAGTTCAGGTCAGGTAGCAATTTCATGTTTATCTTTCATACTAATAGCGTTAACGTACATATGCACCGGTTGATGTCATCGAATTCTTCAATCGTACATTTCCAACGATTAAATCAACTTAATGATGCCATTTAAAGCTTTTACTTTGATCTAACGTCAATTGAAAATGCACTAGTGATAACTCTGACAATCATCACGTTAATATTCTACCACCATAATCACCTTTCTGTCCATATTTGATAATATCGATAGGAAAATTAAGTCAATGTAAAAAGAGGCCTTACGATATAAATTCGGTAGCTAGCATGTTTCACATCTTCAACGTTCTTGGAATACCTAAATCCAAAGCTGCATAAGTCCCAAATTGTTCCGGTTAAGAAAAGAAAGAAAAAAACCCAAGTATGCTACTTATTTTCCTCTGTTTTCATAACCGGATCGGAGGCTGAACCGGAATAGTTAGTGGTTTACAGTTCAGTAGTTACATATAAAATCGTTGGTTAACCGTTGATAGAACCGTGATATATAACAGATAAGACTTGTATATTACATTAACTCAAGAATGAAATTATCATTGATCATAAACATTTTCAAATTCATATCATCACCAAAATATCTAATAAATCATTCAAATCGTCTCACAAAAAAATATTAATTCAAATTAAAAATTACGATGTCAGTCGATAGTGGACAACGTAAAGTCGAGAACAAGGTTAGAAATTGAGAAGAGGAAGCAGATATAAAATTAATAATTATGGTTTGATCAATGATGGTCTTAGTTAATCGTTAAAGTATTCTTTTTTAAATTATGTGGTTAACATAGTGGGCCAGTTGGTTCATCTGGTTTTACGTTGAACCGTGAAACCCGTTTGATCCATCAATATCCGCCCAAGCAATGAACCGGAACGCTATCGTAACTGGTTTGACGATTCTCTTGCACTAGCCTTTGATCCGGTTCGGTTCAGGTGTTTTTTTTACTCTAGCTATTTGTAGTCATGACTTATTAGAAACTCGTTATTAACTTGGAATGTATAATCACCAGGACATATTTATTGGAGGCACAGTGACAACATCTTCAGCAATGCAATGGGCAATGGGAGAACTAATCAATCACCCAAACGTGTTGAAGAAATTGAGACATGAAATCAATGAAGTAGTTGGGTCAAACAGGCTGGTTCGAGAATCCGACGTTCAAAATCTCCCATATCTCAGGGCTGTAATTTGTGAAACACTCCGCCTTCACCCATCATCGCCTATGATCATGAGAGAATGTGCTGAAGATTGCGAAATCAATGGTTTTCTCATCAAGGCCAAGACACGAGTTCTATTAAACCATTATGCAATTATGAGAGATCCAAAGTCTTGGGAAAACCCTAACGAGTTTTTCCCTGAAAGGTTTTTGGAAAGATTGGAAGAGAAGAACCGAAACTTTGGTTACATTCCATTTGGGATGGGAAGGAGAGCTTGTCCAGGTGTATCGCTTGCGATGATGGTGATGCCTACAGTCGTTGGAGCTTTGGTGCAGTATTTTGACTGGGAAATCAACGAGGGGAAGCTTGATTTGACTGTTGGTTCGGGTGCTGGAGCGGAAATGGCTCACGCTCTAGTGTGTTATCCGGTGTTACGTATTAACCCATTTGACTCCTCTGGATAATTTATTTTATTTTATCTTATTGGTAAGAAGTCGGGTTAATAGCATTTTGATGCATTATCATATTCGGCCGCCCATTATCATTATTATTAGTTTGTTAGTCGGTTTTGGTTACTGTTCAGGAATAATATTAATTATTAAAATATTTAAGGTAGTTTCTTTAGGACGAGAACGTCATTAGGTTTTCGGTTCTACTAGAAATATGTACTTTGTTTCTACGTTTTAAGAAGTTACCGAGCTCGCTGCTGCAGCTCCCAGGGCAGGTATCGCCAACGTTCAACCACCAACGTTGGGAAGAGGTCCCGCGAGCAACTACATCGCCGCCAAAATTCACAAGGCCAACGTCGCTGGACGTTTGCCATGCATCGCTGGAGGTCCCGACCTCACCTACTGCCGCCGCCGCCGTTGCTGAACGGGTTGCGAGAAGATGCGTGCCACAGCTGGAGCCGCCCGACGAGTTGTGTAACGTGAAGATCCCATTCTGCGCACTAACAGGGGTCACCAATTCCGCCACGCTACAATTCTCAGCTCAGCTCATGGACGAGAACGTCATCGCCCTTGTTGACGTCTTTTCTTCTCACAATTTTGTGAGTGCCGAGGTCGCCAGAGCCATGTCCTTGACAGCCACACCGATTCCACCGTTTCGGGTCAAGGTAACCAATGGAGAGTCCCTCAACTGCTGACGTTGCTACAAAGCCGTAGACCTCACCGTGCAAGGCGAAACCCCCAACGTCGTAGATCTGTATGAGCTGCCGATCAAAGGACACGACGTGGTCTTAGGCGTTCAATGGCTGAATCAACTTGGACCGACGTATGTCGATTGGGAACGGCGCACGATGCGTTTCAGAAAACTGGGACGATGGGTTGACTTGCATGGTTTGAACATGGAAGCAAGGGCGATCGAGACCATGGACACGGCCGAGGACCCTGCTGCCCCGATCGCAGGCAAGCTCGTCACGCCGCCGCCACCTCACAAGACCGTCGCTGCTGCTACAAAGCGGGGCCTAATGGAAGAGCTAACCCTAGCTCCGGTTCCACTTCTCGTTGGGGAGAGAGTGAATTCCAATGCAACGAAGCCATCGATGTCGAAGTTGCGAGCTGATGTCGACGTCGAGAAGGCCCGAGAGAGAAGGGCTACTGCCGCTGCCGTTTCCTGGCGTAACCGCACCACTGCCGAGGAGGATGGGGTTTCCAAGCCATCACCGCCATTGGTGGCTCTGCGAGACGCCCCGCCTGCCGTCGTCGATGCTGAAAGAAGTTCTTTTGGGCTACTCCAACCCAATTGGAAATCGAGGAAGAAGTAGATGGGAGGCTTAACGGGGGCTCTGTTGTATGGGTTCAAGGCTGCGAATACGGAAGAGTTACTGGGGGTGCATGAGAATTTACTTGTCATGGACAAATCTATTGGTGATGCCTCTGTACGTGACATGGGTGGAGTGAGCCATGGATTGCATGGGAGATTGAGTTTGGAAGGAGGATCTCGTGGCTTGATGTTGACGAATGGAGAAGCTGACTTTTTTGGAGTAATCCATTGGTTCGCCATAGAGATGAGGGCCATATATGCAGGAGCGGTCGACGTTGGGTTCTTCCAAGTGCCCGGGCGTAATGGGAAGTTCCGAAAACGAAGTCGGTATCAACGAACATCCATTTTCTTCGCTATCGTCAACAACTTTTTCATCGATCCGGGTTAAGACGATGCTTGAACTTCGGGGACGAAGTTCTTCGAAGGGGGGAGGATTGATGCATTATCATATTCGGCCGCCCATTATCATTATTATTATTATTAGTTTGTTAGTCGGTTTTGGTTACTGTTCAGGAATAGTATTAATTATTAAAGTATTTAAGGTAGTTTCTTTAGGATTAAGTTACCGAGTCCTTGTAGGATTCGTAAGTCATTAGGTTTTCGGTTCTACCATAAATATGTACTTTGTTTCTACGTTTTAAGAAGTGAATGAAGAAGAAAACCCCTAATTTAGTTGTTTTAGTTTATTTATCGTTTTTGTGCTGCGATGCTTGATCCGTCAATGCATCACATTTTATACACTTCTCCTAATGTAAATTAACAAAGCTGTCCTTTTCCTGCGTTTTTGCACAAACTTATCCTTTATCTAATCGAGTAAGCAATCAATCATTCTTTACTAATTATTTTTCTACTCTTCTAGTTCTAATCTTCTCCGTATCTGGTGACACCAATACCCCGCCATTTTTACAAAATTCAGGTGGATTTTTCTCCACTGAAGCTCTTTAGGTAGATTCGACTGGGATCACCTACGAGGATGCAGTCAATCCATCAAAGCCTATGAGCCACCAAAATGGAGCTCTAGCAGCTCGCCCTCCGATCCTCGCGTGCTTTCGCCTAGGCTAGAATCCGATTCATCGTAGATTTGTGCAAACAATACCTACCCAAGATCCGAATATGTATGCACCTAGGTAGGTCATATCAAACGTTTAGAACTAGATTCTTACCATTGCGAGAAGCTTGCTTCGAACCGTACAAGGATTTGTGCAACCGATAGACTCGAGTATCACCAACTTGCTGAAAAACCCTGCGGAACCTTCATGTAAACTTCTTCTTCCAAATCACCATGCAGAAAGCATTGTTCACATCCAATTGATGCAAAAACCATCATTTATTGACTGCAACAACGAGAAGTACACGGACGGTGACAAGATTAGCAACGGGTGCAAAAGTGTCATGAAAATCAATGCCCTCCAACTGCATACACCCTTTGGCGACAAGTATGGCCTTGTAGCGCTCGACGGAACCATCGGGGTAGTACTTAATTTTGTACACCCATTTGGAATCGATGGCGCGTTTGCCAGGGGGAAGAAGTTCCAACATCCGTGTTCCATTGGCCTCAAGAGCATTGATTTCTTTCTGCATCGCCTCACGCCAACAAACATGCCTAATGGCTTGCCAAAAGTATCTCGGCTCATCCATTTTGGTAATGGCAGCCAAGAAAGCAGAATGAGAAAGTGAGAAATGATGATACTGGACATGATTAGACATGGGATAGGGAGTAGCAGTATCATGAAGAGTAGCATTATTATCAAAATGATGATGAGCAAGCGAAGGAGGAAGAGCTACATCATACCCATTAAGCTTGCGAGAAGGCTGACTAGTACGAAGTCCTCGTCGTGGTTCAACTAGATCGAGAGGAGCTATGCCGGCATCTGGTGAAGTGGCTGGTTCAGTCATGGATGGCGTCACAGTGGCCGGGCCAGGCGAAGACGAGAGCGAAGTCGGTTCCATGGACGACTCCAGCTCATCCTCGAGCTCAAAAGGAGACTCATGATCATCGTGTCGTAGAGGAGAAGAAGGTGCAGGAGGTGCATGGGAAGGGTAATCTTCGTGAGAACAAGAACAAGGAGAACCATGATCACCATGCATTACCTCCAAACGCCCCAAATTAGGCTGCTCACGAGGATTATTTATGGAGGAGGCTTTCTTGTACGGAAACACATGTTCCTGGAAGTGCAAGTCACGACATTGATCTTGTGAGAGTTCAAATCATATACCCAGTAACCCTTTTGTGTAGCCGGATATCCAAGAAAGATACATGCTTTCCCCCTTTCGGCGAACTTGTCCAAACCCTGATGAGTGTCTTTTGCATAGACAAGGCAGCCAAAACATCGTAAGTGATCATAGGAGGGCGCCTTTCCGAGAAGGAGCTCAAAAGGTGTTTTACCGGCGAGGGGGGCAGCAGGCAGCCGGTTGATTAAATACGTAGCAGCAAGAACACAATCTCCCCAAAAACGAACAGGTAGACCTGCATGAAACATGAGTGCGCGAGCCGTGTCAAGAAGATGTCGATGCTTGCGTTCAACCACTCCATTTTGCTGTCGAGTATCAGTGCAGGTGGTTTGCAAGAAAATCTCATGCTCTTCATAATAAGTGCGAAGAGTAAGCGTTTGAAACTCAACACCGTTATCGACTTGAAACCGACGCACAAGAAGACCAAACTGAGCAAGTGTGAATTCGCAGAACATGCGAATATAACGTTCAACGTCGGACTTATACTTCATCAGATAAACCCAGGTGGCCCGACTGTAGTCATCGACGATGGTCAAGAAGTATCGAGAACCATCAAGGGCTGCAGTCCTATACCCTCCCCAGATATCCACATGTACAAGATCAAAACAACGTCGAGTCTTTATTGAACTAGTGGGAAAATGTGTCGTGTTTGTTTAGCAATAAGGCAAGCATCACAAGAAAAACCATGCTGGCCACCAGCAATACAAAGAAAATTTCTCAGCAGAAGGGTGCCCAATTCGGGCATGCCATAGACACGGAGAGTTCTCAGTACGTGCAACTCGACAGGCTTGCGGGTTTGCCTTTGTAACACTTGGATTGCTTTGGAACCGCCGCAATTAGTATAGTCCATCACGCATTTCACCCATCTCAATCAGCGTCTTAGAGCGTAAGTCTTGGAGGACGCAGAAATCACGCAAGAAAGTCAGGGCCACATTGTGATCCTTTATTAGCCTGCTTACGGATAATAGGTTGCAATGAAATTCTGGTACATGAAGAACTCCATGAAGGGTAAGATGGGATGATAAGTTAACTGTTCCAGTGCCTCGAATAGGTACTCGTGTACCATTCGGAATACAAACAGAAGAATGTAGAGATGGCTGATCAACAGAATCCAACCAACTAACATCACGAACTACGTGTTCGTTACATCCTGAATCAACCAACCACTCATAAAGATCAGAAGTATTACCAAACATGTTTGTTGTGGGGTCCTTGGACACATCCGTAGGTGAAGCAAGGAATTGTTTGAGCTGGGCGAACTGTTGTGCCATTAAACCAGGAATGGAACTCTCTTCTGGCTCCACATGAGCTTCCCGCGGAGCATTCTCCTTGCGTGTACTATGAGGACCCGAACGATCACCCTATGGAGGCGGAGCTTGCTTCGTCGGGCTAGTGGGGTAGCCGATGAGTTTATAACCTGAATCCCTTGTGTGACCGAGACGGTTACAATGTGAACAGTGGGGTTTAT